AAAGACTTAAAACAACATAAAAAGTAAAAACATAAATTGTTTATTTGTTGATATAATTGCAAAATTATGGTTTTAAACTGTCATATTTTTGTGTTTCTCATGTTGGCAGTACGAAATTTGAATGTTAAGCACCCGACTAAAAAATTGTTACTCTCGCTATTAGAGTGTGCGCGTATAGCTTGACCAATGCATAAAACGTAAACTTTCTGACGTGGAATCGGGGACGAAACAACGTATTTTGAGTCGAGGTAGTAAGAAAAAAAGTTTTGAGCGACGTCTAAAATTTTTTTATCTGTTGAAACTCAAATACTTTAGACTTATTTTTTTTATTTGATCTCCAAAATCAAAAAAATTTCGAAAAAATACTACAACCCTAATGTTTATGGTTAAGTAAAATCCTTTTGTTAAGAAGTGACATTTCTTTGAATTTATTATATAGGTAGGGGCAGAAAATTTTTATTAGACCCGGGGCGCAAATTTTTATAATCCGGCGCTGTCCATTGGTAAACTCAGAATTAACCCAACTAAGTAATTGATATAGAATATCAGTCTCGAAACATAGCAAATCCAGCAAAAGCAGATAAATATAAAATTAATACAATTTAAATTCTTGTTTCAATGAAAATGGGATAAACTCACATTATTTTTATTTTAAATTAACTTAAATGGTATTAACATTTTTTAGATTAATCCTGGACCACCCTATTTAGGGCAATGTATAAAACAGTTTTGTTTATTCCTATTTCAAGCAAATGGAGATAAATCCTTTTTGTTTTTTTACTATATGACACTATACTCTATAGAGTCTATGGAATACATGGGTTGTTCTTTGTGTAAATGTTGCAGAACGAAAAATATTAGTTTTTCGCTGATAACTCGAAACTAGTTAACTGTTTAAAACGGATCTATCTACTTTTAACTGATTTCTCTACAAATAATCTTTTAAATGTCTTGTTATCATTAATTGTATACTATAAAATTATTAATTTAGTAATTTTAATCACTTCAAAAATATTTGTTAATTAAGTAAACCTTTTCCCAAAATTAAATATTGTGAATTAAATACATTTTGTACAAATTTTTTATTGTTAATTTACTTAAATTTTTTAAAAGTAAATAAAAAACTATTATGCCAACCTATAATATTATTAAAATCTCTAGTAGATAATACCTATATTAAATTTTTAGTTATTTTTATGATCTTTAATTGAAAAAGCTGTTAAATGACAACTTTTTTATTTGAAGTGTTTTTAAAGCAATGTTCCTAGTACAGTCCTGTAGAGTGCTGTAACCGCAACGTCATCAGCCATGCATTGCTGTCAAGCGATGACGTTGCGATATCAAACTTACACCGTTTAAACTCTAAAACATTAAAAACCAGTTTTAGGATTAAAAAATGGCGTAAAAAATTTCCAATACAATTGTAACATTCTGAACACCTCGTACTGACGTACGCGCGGTGTGCTATTTTTAGTTTTCTAAAAAAAACTTTTTGTATTTCACACGCTTGTACAATCCTTTCTCTTTCAAGCATCTCCCATATGGTCTATAATATCTTTATTTACATACTGTCTTATTATAAAATACTACATTGTGTGTAAATATATACATTTTATCACATTTGATTACATTACAAAAAAAACTATCACATTTGGTTTATCACATATACATAATACTTGGGTAGTTTGGTCTAGTGGCTAGGATACCTGGCTTTCACCCAGGAGGCTCGGGTTCGATTCCCGGTATGGGAATAACCTTTTTAATACTTTAGATAGATTAGTAGGGGTCGTCCACGTTTAGGGGAGACGTTTAGGAAGACTGTGACAATCAGTGTTTTTCTACCCCTAATGCATATTATGGACATTATTTGGTTTTTTTCGTAAATAATGGAAACCAATATAACCGCTCACGTTGTTAGGCATCAGTGATTGGCTGATTTCAATATTCACTGTTATTTGAACCAATGAGGTTTTAAATTGGGAAAAGTAAGGTTAACAGATGTCAGATTTGTTTATTTATAGGAGGGGCGACTGTAATGATCTTTAAAATCGGGAAAAAGTGAGGTTATAAATTATAACTTATAAATTTTGTTATCATTGAAAATTGGCCTCATCCTTGTAAATAATAGCCTGCGTTATCTCTCGTATAATAATATACTAAAATATATTGTTTTCAGATTAAATTAAATTTATATGATATAGAAACTACTTTTCTCACGTAGCTACGTAGGTACCTATTGAACATGGTCTATTTTCGTATTCTTAATGGAAAATCATTAATTTTTAATATAAAACTTACTAAGCAAATCCCAAAAATCGTAATGAAAAGTACCTACTAGTTTTAAGGTTAGAACGCCTGACTGATATCAGATTGTCTATCTGACAGATGTCAGTATTATACGAAGGACGACTATACTGCCGTGCTAAGCCATATCCGCAATATTAAGTATTAAATGACGAAAGGTAATTGTGATTGTTTTTAACAATGAAAATGATCTTTTGTCCCTTATAACTCATTATTCTATATCCGGGTCTTCGCTTACCAGGGCAGATCTATGATGATTTTTAACTTAATAGAAAATTACCACTTTTTCTCACTCATAGTAAAATCTTGTATTATTGTGTGACATGGGGGGAGGGGTAATTAAAATTTTAAATCTGTCAGCAATTTTCGTGCGGTAAACTTCATTTTCAAATTAAGTATCTCCCATATGGTCTAGTGGCTAGGATACCTGGCTTTCACCCAGGAGGCTCGGGTTCGATTCCCGGTATGGGAATAACTCTTTTGAAATTCTTTAAATTATACATAAAAATAATAATAAAATTTATTTGCCAATTAATCTTACAAAACAAAAGACATTAGCAGTGTCAAAACACTATAAAAAATACAAAGATGCAAAACATTTAAAATAGTTTATTAAGCATTTAAATGTAAGTAATAATTATAATAAATAATTTAATAATTAAAAAAGTCTCCCCAAATACATGTATGAAGTTGCAACTTCACTTTTTGCATAGGTTGACTTGCTATGTCCTAGCAAGTCAACCTTTCTCTTTCAAGCATCTCCCACATGGTCTAGTACATACTGTCTTATTATAAAATACTACATTGTGTGTAAATATAGGTATACATTTTATCACATTTGATTACATTACAAAAAAAAATATCACATTTGGTTTCACATGCCTTATTTCTGCAGCCTCCTCATCAGGATTGTTAAAGTTGATACTGCTGCTGAGTAGCTGCACTTTTTTATTAGTCCTTTGCAGTCCAGATCACTTAGACCCAGTCTCTTCAGTAATTTAATACATTTATTATGGGCTTCAGTTGTAATGACCTCCCCCATAGCATCCAACCACAAATATCCCTAGTTCCGCAGAGCAAGCATGCATGTTCCCCACCTCGGTGACCAGATTTGCTTTGCGACTAATGGATGTGGATACTGCAATTTCCAAAATTATTACTTCAGTGGGGTTTTCAAGTTTCACCAGGATGTCAGACTTATTGTGATGCAGAGTATATTCAGTTATTATTGGGTGACCTGCTATTACCGTCATGTTTCTCTGGTTCTTTACATTGGTTTACTGAGATTTCAGTGTAGCCTTACCGAAGAATAGGCTCTCCGTGGTTGGTTTTAGAGCTCCGGTCGCACCCAGTATGGCTTTTAGTATCCTATATACTATGTTGTCATGCCTGGTGCTGAACTCGTTTGCACAGCCTCTCCTGCACCTCCTCCGGTATTCTGGCCCCCAGCTCATGAATCTGTTCTTCTGCGGCTGCTTGTAGTAGGGTCAGTCTCCAGCCATCAAGAAATGGTGAAGCTTATGCAGGGAAAGTTATTTTTGTTTCCTTCTTTAACCACACGTTGGGGGTAGTGCATATGTGTGGCCCACTTTACTTCCATTCTGGCTATCTGCTTTTCTCTAACCCTCTTCGCCATTTTTTGTGTCAGCTTTTTTAGGTCTCTCCATGTCAACATCAATATTTGTGCACTCATACTTCTCCAGCACCCTTCCCATGTCATCTTTCGCTTGGAATTTTTGGAATTTTTGTAGCGCCTGCTTCGTGTCTGGCTGTACAGTCCACATTTGTTTTCATTGAGCCTTAGCCCCAGTTCCTATGCTTCCCTCCTTAGTTCCTCTGTCATTATTCTGCTGCCTTGCTTTGTTGGTGGGTGCACACACCAACGCATTTAAATGTAAGTAATAATTATAATAAATAATTTAATAATTAGAAAAGTATCCCCAAATACAACTTGACTTTTTGCAACCTATGTAAAAAATCCAATTTTTTTAGACTTGTTAGCTGCTAGTTTTTGAAATTGCACAGCTGTTTTGATTTGAAGGTTTTGTTAAAAGCTCGTCTGAATTTGTTTTTCTCTTTAATGAGAACGAGAATTTCAGGGGGCAGGCGATCAGTTTGTGGTCGTATTATGGTCTTACGCGTGGTTAGGTATCTCGCTTGTTTGATGTTATTGTCAATTGGTCAAGTTCGTTGTGATTGAACTTGTTCGTTTTATATTCTGCATACATACAGGTTAATGATCAGCTTGATGGTGATGCTTTCAATGCCTGCATGTATGTCAAGTTGTCTGTGGTGTGGAATGGCGTTTTTGATGAGGATGGCAACGCCACCGCTGACTTGCCCGTTCACTGGTTGTCTGTCCTGTCTATGCGTGGTATAGACGTTAACATTAAGGCGATCTCTGTGTTCCAATCTGGTCTCATTTAAAATGAGGATGTCTATGTCATGTCTGTATAAGAAAGTTATTAGGGTTGGGTATTTGCCTTTAAGAGTTTGGCAATTCCATGTGACGATGTGAAGTTTATTAGACATTGTAATTAGCTACGTTGTTTAGAGCAAAAAATTGAGAGTTTGAAAGAATTGCGTTTAGGTCTTTGATAGCCCTAAGCATTTCCCCCATATTTACGTGGTTTTGAAGGGAGCCAAGTTCAGAAACTATGTTATTAAATGTGTTATGTGGTTGTTGCGACTTGTACCTGTTTGTGTTTATGTTGACTGATTCCGTGTTGCTGGTGTTGAGGATAGTTGGCAGCTGTGGTGTTGGCGGCTGCTGCTTGCTTTCGTGCTTCCCAGTGGTTGGTGATAGGTTTTGGGGCCGGTACGAATGGTTTGGCGGGTCTTGTTGGAAGTGTAGCCTTTGGCGCCATGTTCTGCTCTCTAAAGATGTATACTGGGCAGGATATTGAGTTGGCCGGGTGGTTACCTTGGCAATTGACGCATTTAGCCGGTGATTCTTTGTCTTTGGTGCATTCTCGCGTTGGGTGGGGCTCCGCACACTTCAGGCAGCGGTGGCATTGCGTGATCTTCCATTCGTTTCTCCTCCTTTCCCAGTATACACTTGAATTTAGAATTAACCTGGCGTGTTCATTCAGCCATTGGATGGTTATATGTGGAGATACTGTAATCATATAGAGGGGCCTAAAGGTGTTTCTGAGGCGGAACATTTCCTCTACAATAATTTCATTTTCCTCTCTCAATTCCTTCTTGATTTCCTCAATGTCGAAGCCAGCGTCTAGCCCAGTGATGTAACCGATACATTTTTTTCAGTATCTAGGTACCGATACAGATACTCTCTGGTAGATGTATCTGGGTACAGATACCGATACATTTTCCCAAAAGTATCTGGGTACAGATACAGATACATTCAAAAAGTATCTAAGTTACTTCCAGATACTATGTTAAAAAAACTTAAAAATTAAATGACAAGAAAAAATTTTTTGGACCTTATAAACAAGCGTGTTAACTATAAAATAAAACTGTTTTGATAAAATTGACGAAATATCCATGAAAAACGGAAATATCAAGAATATCCAATGTTAGTATATATCCTGGATATCCATAGAGTATATCCATTGGATGTTCATTTTCCGTGTGGCCCACACGGTGTGGAGTTGCAATCAGGTTGGGTAAAATAAAATGTATCTTCACAGCAAACGGAAAATTATAGAGGTGTATAGGATGACGCCACGTTTGAATATCGTTTTCTAAATCTCCCTACGGTATAGAGTTGTATTCGTCAGTCAAGCGTTTCAATACTCTCCACAGTATAGAGGTCGTAATTTCACTTTTGAACTAGTATTAATATAAAAATTATTTTATGCTTAAAAAAACTATATACGACATGATTGTGATTTTTTCATTTTATTAATTAATTAAGCTGTGTTGAATATTTTTCCTAAAGGAATAATTGCCAATGGGCCATTAATTCATTTGTTCGTAGATGCTACAATAACCATCATCAACCAGTTTTAAATATTACAAAACTAACATATACCAGTGGAGATAGTGCAGGGTCTACCAACAGACCTAATTACTAAATTATTAAAGTTTTATAGCATATCGATCATTTTTTCAACATAACCTCTGAAATTTTTAATACAAATATAGGTACTTTATATAATACATAAATATACTTAACATCATATCATCTGTGCTTTACATACCTGAGTTGTTACGGTAAATAAAAATTAGACAAAGGAACCAAAGAAAGGAACTATTTTCAACAAAATCATATGCAGAAAGGAGAAAATTCAAACTACTTGCATCCATCAAAAGATCAAAACTTCTTGCAATATTACACCCTCTTTTTATACTCTCACAAATATTGACTAGAACAGTATTAGAGAGACTCCAGTTTCTATAACTTGGTAGAGTAAAGGGAAGTCGAAACCGTTGCGATATTGCATTGCGCTGTTTTTGTATAATTCTCGGGGACATTAACGAAAATCATTGCCAGTAAAATTAGAAAAGCTTGAGTTTCTATGTCTCTGAGGAGAATAGGAATCCGAAGTTGCTGCACCATTGGACTGAACTCTTTTTTAATAATTTCTAGAGACATAAATGACTGCACCATTCGACCGGGTCGAGTTTCTACCTCTCTGTTGAATATAGAAAATCAAAATAATGTATCTTGTAAGACACCATTGAGTTTGACTTTAAATATAGTCGTGCATAGGTATAGAGCCGAAAAATATAAAAACAAAGCACGATTCAATACAGTTATGATAAAACTTTAAGATTTGATATTCAAACGCGGAGTCATCCTATACACTTCTATAATTTTTCGTTTGCTGTGTTGTATCTAAGGATCTAGATACTTTCAAAAGGATCTAGATACTAAAGTAGATCCTGATTTTTTTAAGTATCTCGATACGTATCTAGGTACATAAAATGTATCTAGATCCAGTATCTAGATACATGTATCTCGATACATTACATCACTGGTCTAGCCTCCTTATGACATAAGCGTGTCGCTTATCTTCGCGAGTTCCATACGTGTAAAAGCTATCCCCTTCGTTTTTGACAAATTCTTTTAGTTTGGTATATTCTTTAAGGTCTGTCGGTTAGATAATTGTTGTGTTTTTGGCATACTTGATTCGGTACCCGAGTTTAAGATGAGGCTTCACCATTGCGTCCACTTCTCTGTGGTTTGCTGGAACGAAAGGCAGCACTATTGGCGGCGGTGTCTCTGACTAAGGTGCCTTTTTAGTGGCTTCCTCTTCGTATCTGTATTCGTCTTCATTATCTGCATTGTCGCTGACTGTTTGTTGAGTGCTTGCGAAGGTGGATGGCATTGGATTATTTGGTTGAACTTGTGTTTCAGTGCCTTTTTTTCGTTATTGCTTGTTACTGTGGAGGCTTGGAATATTTTGCGGGTTAGTTTCTCCAGCTGGCTGAATGACGTTATCTTCTTGGGTTTGATGAATGTCTTCGTACCAGGCTCTTCTTTGGCCTTTCGGCTAGACTCTTTTTGGTCTCTTTGTGTACAGATTCTTCATTGGTCTCTTGAACGATGATAGGCTTTTCAATGGCCTCTGTTCTTGGTTTCTTGGGTACCCTACTTAAAATACCCCATAAAGACCAATACAAAATAATCTATCGGGCGCTACCGGATTCAATATATATGTGCATTTGTCCATGGTTTTTTCCGGATACGACCCGATAGAAAATGTATAGGAAATTACCTATAGGCACACCATAACTTTTACATTTTCCCTATTGAGACCGATAGAAAATAACTCAATGAAGGATATATAGGGATATCCCTATAGAGATACCATAAAACATTTGACAAAATTTTATTAAAACCTATGGGGTCCTATGGAGGGAAAAACTAATTTCTACATTTATGTGTATTTTCCCCATTGAAACCAATAGCAAATAAATCAAGGGTGAATATCCCTATAGAACAACCATAAATCGCAACTATGGGTCCTATACATACCGATACATCCTATAGAAACACCATACATTCCGATACAAATACCTATCGGTTTGAACAGGGTCTCTATGGGGTATTTTAAGCAGGGTAATGCTTCTTCGTGATCTGCCTTTCGGGCTTAGCATTTGCTCTTTGTCCATTTCAGAGAATTTGTTTGGCGGTTTAGATGGTATCGATGACGTTGTCACTGTTTGAAGTTGTACAGGCACTTTCGGTATTTTTTGCCCAACTTTTCATTGACGTATTCGGTCACCCTCGCCTCAAGCTCGCTTTGTGTTGATGGTTTTTCAATCTCAGCGCGTTTTTGCACTGGTTTTTTTTTGTGGTAGGTTTCTCATACTTTTGTATTCATTGCTGCAGTTTCGAGTCAAGGTTACCGAGTAATTTAACATTCGAATGAACGACAACCAGTGGCGTAACTACAATGGTGCTAGTGGTGCCTTGGCACCAGGGCCCGCGCCATTAGGGGGCGCGGCTCGGCCCGGTGGCTCGGTTAAAGCGTAAAAAAATTGTGGAAATTTTAAACAACATGCAAAAACGAACTATTGAGTGTTGACACTTCTTTATTCGAAATTTTTTTAATTGTTTTTTGTTTTATATATAAAATAATATATATTATATTATAATAATTACTTACATTTAAATTCGTAACGAGCTTGATAAAATAAATATTTTTAATTGAAAGAATTTCAAAAGAGTTATTCCCATACCGGGAATCGAACCCGAGCCTCCTGGGTGAAAGCCAGGTATCCTAGCCACTAGACCATATGGGAGATACTTAATTATAAAATGAAGTTTACCGCACGAAAATTGCTGACAGCGTTATTTTAAATTTTAATTACCCCTCCCCCATGTCACACAATAATAGAAGATTTTTCTCTGAGTGAGGAAAAGTGGTAGTTTTTTATTTTAATAAACTTAAAATTTAATTATAAATCATCATAGATCATTATAGTCGCCTTTCGTATAATACTGACATCTGTCAGATAGATAATCTGATATCAGTTAGGCGGTCTAACCTTAAAACTAGTAGGTATTTTACTTTACGTTTTTTAGGATTTGCTTAGTAAAAGTTTTGTTTATTAATTAATGCTTTTCCATTAAGAATACGAAAATAGAGCGTGTTCAATACTTGAGAAAAGTATTTCATCAATATATTTACACTTTTCTTTACTTATAGAACAATCAACTATATTTAATGTTGCATATTGTCACAAAATCTTGAGCTTTTCCCTAAACGTGGACTACCCCTACTAATCTATCTAAAGCACAGAATATTCTGTGTCTAAAGTATCAAAAAGGTTATTCCCATACCGGGAATCGAACCCGAGCCTCCTGGGTGAGAGCCAGGTATCCTAGCCACTAGACCATATGGGAGATGCTTAAAGGAGAAAGGAGTGTACTACAAGCGAGTGAAATTCAAAAAGTTTTTTTAGAAAACTAAAAATAGCACACGGCGCGTACGTCATTACGAGGTGTTCAGAATGTTACAATTGGATTGAAAATTATTGACGCTATTTTTTAATCTTAAAAACTGGTTTTTAATGTTTTAGAGTTCGAACGGTGAAGTTTGATGTCGCAACGTCATCGCTCGACAACGTTGGGCAATGCAGGGCTGATGACGTTGCGGTATCAAACTTACAGCACTCTACAGGACTCTAAACTAATGTTTAGGTACTAGGAACAATTACTTGTTGTGTTTTTGGCATACTTGATTCGGTACCCGAGTTTAAGATGAGGCTTCACCATTGCGTCCACTTCTCTGTGGTTTGCTGGAACGAAAGGCAGCACTATTGGCGGCGGTGTCTCTGACTTAGGTGCCTTTTTAGTGGCTTCCTCTTCGTCTCTGTATTCGTCTTCATTAGCTGCATTGTCGCTGACTGTTTGTTGAGTGCTTGCGAAGGTGGATGGCATTGGATTATTTGGTTGAGCTTGTGTTTCAGTGCCTTTTTTCCGTTATTGCTTGTTACTGTGGAGGCTTGGAATATTTTGCGGGTTAGTCTCTCCACCCAGGTAGCACAACGTGAGGAAACCGTGACAATTTGTGTCCAATTGAACACAATGGACACGAATCGTCACGGTTTCGTCACGTTGTGCTACCTGGGCAGCTGGCTGAATGACGTTATCTTCTTGACAAAATTTTATTAAAACCTATGGGGTCCTATGGGGGAAAAACTAATTTCTACATTTATGTGTATTTTCCCCATTGAAACCAATAGCAAATAAATCAAGGGTGGATATCCCTATAGAACAACCATAAATCGCAACTATGGGTCCTATACATACCGATACACCCTATAGGCCTATAGAAACACCATACATTCCGATACAAATACCTATCGGTTTGAACAGGGTCTCTATGGGGTATTTTAAGCAGGGTAATGTTTCTTCGTGATCTGCCTTGTATCGGGCTTAGCATTTGCTCTTCGTCGGTGTCCATTTCAGAGAATTCTAGTGTGGTATCGATGACGTTGTCGCTGTTTGCGGTTGTACAGGCACTTTCGGTATTTTTTGCCCAACTTTTCATTGACGTATTCGGTCACCCTCGCCTTGAGCTTGCTTTGTGTTGATGGTTTTTCAATCTCAGCGCGTTTTTGCACTGGTTTTTTTGTGGTAGGTTTCTCATACTTTTGTATTCATTGCTGCAGTTTCGAGTCAAGGTTACCGAGTAATTTAACATTCGAATGAACGACAACCAGTGGCGTAACTACAATGGTGCTAGTGGTGCCTTGGCACCAGGGCCCGCGCCATTGGGGGGCGCGGCTCGGCCCGGTGGCTCGGTTAAAGCGTAAAAAAAATTGTGGAAATTTTAAAAAACATGCAAAAAGGAACTATTGAGTGTTGACACTACTTTATTCGAAATTTTTTAAATTGTTTTTCGTTTTATATATAAAATAATATATATTATATAATAATAATTACTTACATTTAAATTCGTAACGAGCTTGATAAAATAAATATTTTTAATTGAAAGAATTTCAAAAGAGTTATTCCCATACCGGGAATCGAACCCGAGCCTCCTGGGTGAAAGCCAGGTATCCTAGCCACTAGACCATATGGGAGATACTTAACTATAAAATGAAGTTTACCGCACGAAAATTGCTGACAGTGTTATTTTAAATTTTAATTACCCCTCCATAGATAATACCCCTCCCCCATGTCACACAATAATAGAAGATTTTTCTCTGAGTGAGGAAAAGTGGTAGTTTTTTATTTAAATAAACTTAAAATTTAATTAAAAATCATCATAGATCATTATAGTTGCCCTTCGTATAATACTGACATCTGTCAGATAGATAATCTGATATCAGTTAGGCGGTCTAACCTTAAAACTAGTAGGTATTTTACTTTACGTTTTTTAGGATTTGCTTGGTAAAAGTTTTGTTTATTAATTAATGCTTTTCCATTAAGAATACGAAAATAGAGCGTGTTCAATACTTGAGAAAAGTATTTTCCATGTAATAGAAATTTAATTCAATCTTAAATCAATATATTTACACTTTTCTTTACTTATAGAACAATCAACTATATTTAATGTTGCATATTGTCACAAAATCTTGAGCTTTTCCCTAAACGTGGACGACCCCTACTAATCTATCTAAAGCACAGAATATTCTGTGTCTAAAGTATCAAAAAGGTTATTCCCAGGTATCCTAGCCACTAGCAGTGATGTAACCGATACATTTTTTTCAGTATCTAGGTACCGATACAGATACTCTCTGGTAGATGTATCTGGGTACAGATACCGATACATTTTCCCAAAAGTATCTGGGTACAGATACAGACACATTCAAAAAGTATCTAAGTTACTTCCAGATACTATGTTAAAAAAACTTAAAAATTAAATGACAAAAAAAAAATTTTTGGACCTTATAAACAAGCGTGTTAACTATAAAATAAAACTGTTTTGATAAAAATGACGAAATATCCATGAAAAACGGAAATAAATTTTATATTTACTCGCCATATGAAAGCTTACTACAAAATTTGTAGTACAAATTCAAAATTATCAGAACGAAGAAAAGCCAACTATAGGTAACCTACAGCGCTTTTGTTTAACTTTACTCACTAGTGCCTAAGAGTTACTTTATGCACTTCGCACTCCAAAGTGGGTTGAAGGGAAAAAGAAATAAAATATCTTTTTATTATTTGTGGCCCACACGGTGTGGAGTTGCAATCAGGTTGGGTAAAATAAAATGTATCTTGTATCTAAGGATCTAGATACTTTCAAAAGGATCTAGATACTAAAGTAGATCCTGATTTTTTTAAGTATCTCGATACGTATCTAGGTACATAAAATGTATCTAGATCCAGTATCTAGATACATGTATCTCGATACATTACATCACTGGCCACTAGACATGACAACATAGTATATTGGATACTAAAGGCCATACTGGGTGCGACCGGAGCTCCAAAACCAACCACGGAGAGCCTATTCTTCGGTAAGGCAACCCTGAACGCGCAGTACACCAACATTAAGAACCAAAGGAACATGACAGTAATAGCAGGCCACCCAATAATAACTGAATATACTCTACATCACAATAAGCCTGATATCCTGGTGAAACTGGAAAACCCCACTGAAGTAATAATTTTGGAAATTGCAGTATCCAAAATTACAGAGACCAAGAAATGCTGAAGCACACAAGATATGCTGTAAATTCTGTGGACAACATAACCAATGAAAATGCCACATCCATTAGTCGCAAAGCAAATCTGGTCACTGAGGTGGGGAACATGCATGCTTGCTCGGCGGAACTGGGGATATTTGTGGTTGGATGCTATGGGGAGATCATTACGACTGAAGCCCATAACAAATGTATCAAATTACTCAAGAGGCTGGGTCTAAGTGATCTGGACTGCAAAGGACTGATAAATAAGTGCAGCTACTCAGCAGCAGTATCAACTTCAACAATCCTGATGAGGAGGCTGCAGAAATAGGGCACTACCCTACAAACTACCCAAGTATTCTGTATATGTGATAAACCAAATGTGATATTTTTTTGTAATGTAATGAAATGTGATAAAATGTATATATTTACACACAATGTAGTATTTTATAATAAGACAGTATGTAAATAAAGATATTATAGACTATTCTGCGGGTTAGTCTCTCCAGCTGGCTGAATGACGTTATCTTCTTGGGTTTGATTAATGTCTTCGTACCAGGCTCTTCTTTGGCCTCTCGGCTAGACTCTTCTTTGGTCTCTTTGTGTACAGATTCTTCATTGGTCTCTTGAACGATGATAGGCTTTTCAATGGCCTCTGTTCTTGGTTTCTTGGGTACCCTACTTAAAATACCCCATAAAGACCAATACAAAATAATCTATCGGGCGCTACCGGATTCAATATATACGTGCATTTATCCATGGTTTTTTCCGGATACGACCCGATAGAAAATGTATAGGAATTGTGGAAATTTTAAAAAACATGCATAAACGAACTATTGACTGTTGACACTACTTTAGTTGAAATTTTTTAAATTGTTTTTCGTTTTATATATAAAATAATATATATTATATAATAATAATTACTTACATTTAAATTCGTAACGATCTTGATAAAATAAATATTTTTAATTGAAAGAATTTCAAAAGAGTTATTCCCATACCGGGAATCGAACCCGAGCCTCCTGGGTGAAAGCCAGGTATCCTAGCCACTAGACCATATGGGAGATACTTAACTATAAAATGAAGTTTACCGCACGAAAATTCCTGACAGTGTTATTTTAAATTTTAATTACCCCTCCATAATACCCCTCCCCCATGTAACACAATAATAGAAGATTTTTCTCTGAGTAAGGAAAAGTGGTAGTTTTTTATTTTAATAAACTTAAAATTTAATTAAAAATCATAATAGATCATTATAGTCGCCCTTCGTATAATACTGACATCTGTCAGATAGATAATCTGATATCAGTTAGGCGGTCTAACCCATAGAGAAAGGTCTATGGTCTATGGTCTAACCTTAAAACTAGTAGGTATTTTAAGTGGGACTTACAGCAGGGAAGTGCAATTTTAATCCAAACAAATTTATTTACAAAACTAAAGTACCACTGCTTAAATGGATTACATAATTAAACAAATTTTACTTAACGTTTTTTAGGATTTGCTTGGTAAAAGTTTTGTTTATTAATTAATGCTTTTCCATTAAGAATACGAAAATAGAGCGTGTTCAATACTTGAGAGAAGTATTTTCCATGTAATAGAAATTTAATTTAATCTCAAATCAATATATTTACACTTTTCTTTACTTATAGAACAATTAACTATATTTAATGTTGCATATTGTCACAAAATCTTGAGCTTTTCCCTAAACGTGGACGACCCCTACTAATCTATTTAAAGCACAAAATATTCTGTGTCTAAAGTATCAAAAAGGTTATTCCCATACCGGGAATCGAACCCGAGCCTCCTGGGTGAGAGCCAGGTATCCTAGCCACTAGACCATATGGGAGATGCTTAAAGGAGAAAGGAGTGTACTCCAAGCGAGTGAAATTCAAAAAGTTTTTTTAGAAAACTAAAAATAGCACACGGCGCGTACGTCAGTACGAGGTTTTCAGAATGTTACAATTGGATTGAAAATTATTGACGCTATTTTTTAATCTTAAAAACTGGTTTTTAATGTTTTAGAGTTCGAACGGTCAAGTTTGATGTCGCAACGTCATCGCTCGACAACGGTGGGCAATGCAGGGCTGATGACGTTGCGGTATCAAACTTACAGTACTCTACCGGACTCTAAACTAATGTTTAGGTACTAGGAACAACTGCTTCAAAAAAACATTTCTTTCTAAAAAAAAGTTGTCATTTAACATTTAAAATCCTTTCTCTCCATCTCCCATATATGGTCTATAATATCTTTTTCTTACTACCTCGACTCAAAATACGTTGTTTCGTCCCCGATTTCACGGC